CTGATCTATTTTTCTTGAAGTCATGTATTTTGACGATTGGGCTGTTGCATTTTAATTCACAAAAAGCTATTATTTCCAGAAATTAATTCTCAAAAATTTAAATCTAAAATAATTTTAAATTTACTCCACATAACAATTTAAATTTATTTTAAATTAAAATTTTGGTATCAGAAAAATTTTTATTTAATTTAAATTTATATTGGCAACAGTTTTAGTTTAAAATAAACTTACAGGAAAATGTCACGCCTATCAGGAACCGAACCGATCTCGAACCGGTTTTTTTAAAATTTAGCCGAACCGAACCGAACTCGAACCGATTTTTTTAAACATAGACGAACTGAACCGAACTCGAACCCACTTTTTTAAGACATATTCGAGCCGAACCGAACCTGAACCAATTTTTTAAAAAATTAGTCGAACCGAACCGAACTCGAACCCGTAAAAGTCGGTTCGATTCGGGCTCTGATAGAAAATGATTAGTTTTATTCCTTACTTTTCTATGTTAATCATATAGAAAATCCTAATTTTTATTTCTTATTTTTCTATATTAATATTATAGAAAATATCAATTTTAGTTTTTTATTTCTCTATATTGGTAATATAGAAAATGTGATTTATAATTTTTATTTTTCTATATTGGTAATATAGATAAAAGTTAGTTTTGTTTCTTATTCTTTCATGGTACTAATATAGAGAATATAAATTTTCGTTTGTTTTTTTTTCTATACTCTTACCATTCAAAAATCGCATTTTTTTCTATAGCAATAGTATAGAAAATAGTTAGTTTTATATCCTTAATTTTCTATGTTAATAATATAGAAAATTCTAATTTTTATTTCTTTTTTTTTATATTATTGATATAGATAACTAAGAAATAAAAATGAGAATATTATCAATATAGAAAAATAAGAAATGAAAATTAAGATTTTGTATATTATCACGGTAGAAAAATAAGAAATTAAATTAACTATCTTGTACATTATTAGCATAGAAAAAAGAGAAATAAAAAATAAGATTTTGGGTATGGGTGTGGAGTGTGGATGTGGGAGGATTCTCTTCGCTTACACTCACACCAGGGTGGCCAGATCTCCTGATTTTTCAGAATTTTTCTGATTTTCAGCATCTTTTCTGATGGTTTTCTGCTTTCTGATTTTTTCTGATTTTGAAGGTTTTTATTTTAATTGTTCTGTACGAGTTAAGAATCTGATCTGACGCCACAACGAAGTTTCCAAGCTCAGTCATGTTTAGTTGACTCTTTTGTATTTAATCTGTAGTTGATTTTTCCTACATCTCTCTGCATCCACTAGTTGATTAATGGTGTGTCATAGTAAGCAAAAGCATTAGTTTGCGAGTAAAAAGTGTAGTTCTTCAAGAAAGAAAATGTCGATATTGTAATATAATTATTTATAATTTCTACTTTCTAATTCCTCATTTTGAGTTACCTAGCATGTCATTTATTCTATTTACTAATAGCTATAGCTCTAGTTGAGGCAGTGTTCTTTTCTAGATACATGCACGTTAAACTCGAAACAAAAAGTTTTTGTTCAGCCTTTTGAAATATATTTGATTTCTTAGTAAATGTTAGTTCTGTCTCCACGTTATTAATTTTTGTAGTTTGAACTAACAAAATCCGTAAAAGTAGGTTTTTAACTACTCCAGAACAACGAGAAAATGCCGAAATCAGAAGTGGAGGATAATTAATTATTTTGTTGAAGCTCTCGTCTCTGTAATGGAGTGAATACAGGAATCAATTGGTTTGAAACTCTTCGCTTCACTATTAAATTGCTAACAAGTTGACTTTATCTGTGCAATTATTTCTATAGATATCATCTCTTCCAGCCATCGCTGGCCAAAACAGCGAACCAAAGAGTTGTAATAACGGACAGAGCGGCATTCTCTTTTAATGGTTGCTTAGTTCCGACTTTCAAGATTGTGACTAGTTCTTTCTAGTACGCAACACTAAACATATTGAATTCGAAAAATAGGTTCTATATTAGACTAACCCATGCCAGGAGTACTGAGTGAAAACCGATGGCTTATTTCGGTTATTGTCATAACCGTCGATTGACCGTTGTTATTTTCTTTGTTCCCACGATTTTCCAGTGTAAAAACCGACGGTTAATCTCTCAGTGAATCAGATCGCTTAGTGATCAGCCGACAATTTACCGATTACTAATCCGGTTAAATAGGAGCTTGGCTGAGATTAACCGTCGAGTTTTATCCTGAAAAATCGTGAGAACAAAGAAAATAACCACGGCTAGTCGTCAGTTACGGAAATAATAGAAACAGATCCGCATTTTTCGACCGATCCGAATGATATAGGAAACATCAGTGCTGATATTTCACGTTGAACACACTTTCTGATTTTCTTCTGATTTCGATGAATCTTTTTTCTGTCAATTTTCTGATTTTTGAATTATTTTTTCTGATTTTGAAATCTTTCATCTGGCCATCCTGACTCACACCCACATCCACACCCATACTCACACACCCACACCCACACCCTTCATAGTAAAAACAAACGATAATTATTTTATTGACAACAAAATTCATGATTACTTTAATTCACGTCAAAATTTTTCGTTTAAAGCATTTACATTCTGGTTAAAACTCGATTTTAGACTTCGTAACATTATTTAACGTACTGAATTATATATATATAGAGAGAGAGAGAGATTGATTTTCATATTTTTTCCTAGAATTGAGTTCATTGTGATGGTTAATAAAACAAAACTCATTTGAAAGACAAAAATGAAAATTGAAGCTGTATTATGATAAAAAATTTAGAAACATTTATATACATGATAGAAAAAGAAAAAAATGGTTATTATGCATTGCTGCTACTACTTCATATAACTAAATTAGCTTTATCATGATCAATTTCTTTTCTTTGACGAAGAGGCGATGCAGAAGTAGCTATATAAAAAATAAAATAAAAAATATAAACTTTTTCGTCTTGGCTTTGATAGGAGTAATTAAACTTCGACATTTAATTTAGCTGATTCGTCAAACTATTAGATGCTGCTGTTGTTGCAGCAAACATTGAATAGCAATCACTGGTGATAATTCCTTAAACAAAACATTTAATGTATTTTTATTTGTAATTGTTGACTGTTCTCTTGCTGTAGTAGATTGAACATTTACAAATCAAACTGTATTTTATACTATTTGTTGAACGTGTACTAAAATTGCGTACGGTATTCATTAATGTTTAGATACGTGATCGTAATGATAAAGTTGGAATCGATTATTATCTAACAAAACATATATATATATATATACAAGCGCATTTCGACTCACGAAAGAATCATCCCAAGTGTCACATTGCTTTTCGATCGAGATGATGTTTATTTGATAAATACTAGTGAGTAACAGAAAAATGGCGAAGGGTTTGATTTTCCGGGTCATTATTCTTTCGATATTGAAGTTTTAAGGAGTTTTTCAACAAAGAGTTGTGATCCCCATCAAGTCAAGTTAGACTTTACACTCCACAATTTGTACGAACAAAGTTTTGAATGACATTAGTTGATTGTACAACTTTTAACTTTTCTCTTATTTTCTTTTTAGAAATGCAAATATTTGAACACAATTTTCCTTTTATACATGAGAAAATTTCGAATATTCGACGTTTCAGAGCACAAGACACTAGAAAAGTTATAAGCTGTTCAATGAACTAATCTTATTAAGAACTTTGTTCGTGCAAAGTTTGAAGTCGAAACTCTTACATGACTTGAGGAAACAATAGCTTTTTGTCGAAAAGCTCAGTAAAACTTTGATATTTCAAGAAAAAAGCTCGAAAAACTAAGCCATTCTAGTTTTTTATTACTCACTAATACTCATCAAATAAACATCGTTTCGATTGCGAAGCAATTCAACACCTGAAGAAGTTTTCTTGTAAGCTATCAAATTGTTAATATGTCTATTTTTTAGAGACCTAGGCTTTCAGAAAAATTACCTTTCCTAATTTTGATTAGAAACTTTCCACACAGAGAGAATTCAACTAGATTAGTTTTCAAAAAAAAAAATCATAAGTTTTGAACAAATTCTCTTCGTGATGTCAGACTTTCAAGATATAGATCCATTTCAATGACTAGTATATACATCATGCAGTTTTTGGAAGCTAGTCTCGTTGTTCTCTATTTGTGCGAAATTCAGAAGCTTACGAGAAAACGTCTCCAAAAGATTAAGAGGTTTTAAGCCTATGTCTTGCCTAATAGTAGAGGACTTATAGATTAGAACCAAGTCTGAAGCGTTCATGCTAACGTTAAAATTTGACCGATATATTGGCTTTTACTGAATTTTTTCTTGTGCAGACCCAAATTTTCGATAAAATTCTATTGTCAAACTTCAGTCTGAAAACTTTGCTCAGATTAAGGTTTCATGGAGACTAGCTGACGAACAATATTTCAGAAATCAAGCGATGTTTTATTGATTCTGTGTAAAACATGCATAGTATGGAATTTTCATAGCTTAGAGGCACTCGATCACAAACATCTGAAGTTTTGTGCATAAGCTATCGTCACTGACATCTTCATCTCGGCAAAGTTTGCACACCAAAACTCGACAATAGGATCTTATCGAAAAGTCGGTCTATATAGAGAAAAATTCATTAGAAAGTCAATATATCAGTCAAATTTTAACGTCAGCACAACCCTTTTTGAAGCCTATCCTACTCTATAGGTCTCATACGACTAGGCAAAATACGAGATGTGGGTATTATATTTAGAATAACATCCACAGCCACACTCCACCCTCAACACAACTTTTATCGACGTTTCTCTTATTAATATGAGCTATGAACATTCCTCTATCAGTGGTAAAAAAAATCAACTCCCTTGGTCGAAGTATGGCAGAGATATACAATTTGTTCAACGATAAATGAGCAATTGGAACCATCCTATACTGTGATCCACCAGTGATTCACATCGCCACGAAAGAAATAATAGTACTAGCTAAGTGTTCGTGATGTATCTCCTTATGTAACAACACATTCAAATCAATTATATTTTCTTTTTTACAATTTGAATATTCTTTCGCAAAGTATGAAGATTAGGATGATTTGAAGGTAGTGAACATTGTTGGATATCAATAGCGTGTTCATAAAATAAAACGGCATTCGAATAGTCACCCATTTGATGATATATTGAGCCAATGTTGTTGTAAGAAGTACCCAGATGAGGATGATCAGAAGGAAGAGCCTTTTGATATATTTCCAGTGCTTTTCGATGAGATGCAAGTGCATTCGAATAGTCACCCATGTTATTATATACCAAACCAATGTTGTTGTAAGAATCAGCTACATCAGGATGATTCGGAGGAAGTAGTTTTTGGCGAACAGTCAATGCTTTTTGATAAACTGAAAGTGCATTTGCATAGTCACCTATCTTGGAATAAATCAAACCAATATTATTGTAAGAAGTAGCTAAATGAAGATGATTGGAAGGAAGAGATTTTTGATAGATTTCTATTGCTTTTTGATGAGATAAAAATGCATTTGAATAGTCATCCATCTTGTCATACACCAGACCAAGACCACTGTAAGAAGCAGCCAAACCAGCATCAGTTGGAGAGAAAATCTTCTGCTTAATTTCAATTGATTGTTTATAATATGTAATTGCTTCAGCATATTTTCCTTGACGATCCTTGACCCATCCAAGCTGATGATAAATATGTGCTTTTTCTCGATCACTAGTGGCTTGATCAACCAGGATATCATACAATTGTTGAGCCTTGTTGAACTGTCCAAGTTTAATCAACAACATGCCTAATCTATCCCATCCTTTCTTATGAGGATATGTCTCTTTTCGCAATTGCTCAGTCATAACATGCAGTTGTGAATCACTATCATTCGTTAACATAACATCCGCTTGCCACAGTCGCTTGTTGTCCATTTGTTTAACTTGACCAACACGAAAGATGGAATGCATGGAGATTAGAATTTCCTCTTCTCCTTCGAAATAACTGACATCACGGACGTTAGCAAATAGTGTCGACGAGATGGAAGGATCGATTTTTATTATGAAGAGAATACCTATTAGATCCGTAGTTTCAATAGTATGACGTATAAAATTAAGCGATACTTGACGATTGGTACTAGTCGAAATAAAATTATTAAATGATAAGAGTCCACCTTGTGTTTTGACTAATTGATCAAAATCTTTCTGAGACAAACCTTGTCCGCGAAACACGGTAAATGGTTCTATATGCGGATGTTTAACATATTGATCGTCATGAAGTGCAGCAATATGGTTGTGAAGATCTTGAATAAAAAAACCCATGCTAATGATAAGATTAACTTCCATCGTACGTAAGGCTCGATTAAGCATTGAATAAAGAAAACAAGGATAAGTATACCACCAGATTGGTAAGTGTTTATGGTATTCACGTGCGAGTTTATTGACATTATTGAGTTCTATCGGATTCTCACTGAAGAGTTGACGACAGTATGAAACGAAGTCATTAATATGTTGCTGATTAAAATCAATAGTAAAAAGAATTTCTTTCAATATCTGAGTGTACATGAATGATGAGTCTAAATGATCTAGATTTTGCTTACTGTTCTCACTACTAGTGATCATAAAACTCATTGAAACTAGGTTTTGGTCACAATCTTGTGCCACTTGTTTAAGACCTTTACAAATAAGTGTAATATCTGTGAAGACACCTTTTATTTTTGGCCAGTTTCGGGCCCAAGTTTCATGTCGAACTTGTTTCTGACAAAAAATGTAAATAGCATTGATCTGTTGCATATTGTGTACGACGGGAACAGTTGTTTGTCCCAATGAACCAGAAGAAATCATGAATATTTTGTCTTGTTCTATGTCACTGATGAAATTGACACATTCATCAGCATCCTTGAATATGTGAATTTTGTCTACCACTTGTTTTAATTTTGAAATGGTATGCATACAATCCTGATCTTTTACTTTATCAATGCTTTCGTCAAGCCAGACTAGCAAGAAGTTCTGAATCATACAATCATAAGGTGGCTTTACTATGGTCATTTGTTGAAGTGGCACAGCAGCAGCAGCCGGTGTTTTTTCTTTAGACTTTTGTTTTTTGCTATCCATAGTACAGTTTAATAAAATGAATGCAAAAACAACTTTTGTATTTGTAGAACAATAAATTTCTTTAATAAAAATAAACGAGGGAAGAACAAACGTATTGAAGTTTTGTTGCCATCGTTGTCAAAAACAAATAACATGCAAGAAAAAGACTGCCATACATTTTCTATTATTTTTTTTTTTCTATTCTTTCACAAGCTTTTCTGCTTGTTCTCGCATGTTCGTTTGTAAATCACAATGACAATGCCATGTGGAGAGTACGAATGCGTGAAGATCAACGAAAAGCTCACTTATTACCTTTCCTTCCTTCCAACACATCTCACATAAACTGTTGGAAACCAATTAGTGAAGTCTTAACCGATTTAAACATCATGTTGACTTCATACTATTTCAATTTCGTCATAATTTTTCTCAAATTTCAACTCTTCAGAAATTATTTTTTAATTAATCCATGGAGAATGCCTTATTCGGAAGCAAATGTTGTTAGTAAGTGTGTTCTGGGAACAATAGACCAAGACTTTAAGTGCAAAAAAATTTTTTGAATCTGAGTAAAGAATTATGAACCAGTCTATCATCTACTGTACAGTCTTTGATGGCCAAATTATTGTAAAGAAAAGGTTAATGTTCAAGTCTGGACTCGGTTCTATTTAACTCAATAATTTGGCCACAAAAGAATGTAATCTATTTATGAACATACAGATTGAAGAAGCATATATTTCTTGACAATATATATATCGACATAATGTATCAAGATCAGTTATAATGGAATAGCTCATTATTCTTTAGTCGAGCACAGAAAAATTTTTCTGGTATACTGTTAAAGATTATTATTAGAAAAACTAGAATTAGTCATGTATGTATTACTCTGATTATAGCATTTAACTTACAATATTAACAATTCTTCAGTGTACTCAGTAATAATCATTGGGACTGAAAATTATTACACTCGTATCAAAATGTGCATCATGTCTTTATTCCAATAAATGTAGTAACAATCTTGAATTCTATGATTTTATTTTATTTTATTTTTCTAGCTTATGCAATAGAAGAATTGTTAAAGTAAAACAACTTACATCAAAATCCATATGAGTTACTTGTAATTAAAAGTAAAATGAAGGCAAAAAGTGTGACCTCAAGGAATTTGTATAAAAGTAGTTAGATAACTTGGGTCTTCGCATACTGTGGTTAGACTAGTCGTTTTCACAGTATAAGATCTAGATAGGAAACAATATTACAGAATAGGGGTATCATTGATTAGAATTAAAAGAAATCTGGTTTTGACTTTTATTGAAATTTTGTTGCTAACTTTTATATAACAATAATATGAAAATAATAACAGAGAAAAAGAAACTATGGTTTTTCAAAACAACATTGGCGATTTATTCTGGAAATATTCTGCAACTTTTTAGTTGTTTTGCCATCTGTTCATCATTTGACTTTCACCATGGACAATAATTCAAAGAGTTTGTATTGAATTAAAGGCTATTATATTTGAGTTAAGAAAAGAATTTTATCAGTTCATGTTAAATAATGCGTAACAAAGACTGCACTATAATAGCGATATTATTGAGCTGAAATTTCAAGATGTAATAAGTAGTTTTTCAGAAAAACAAGTTTTTTTCATAACTTTTTACTTTTTTTTATCTTGTTCTCGAAAAATCAATCTATATTGCGTTATTAAATCATTCATTGTATTAACAACAGCAGCGACTTTATCATATTCAAAATTATCTTTTGTAGTCAATCAAAATTGTTTAGTGAGAAAAGGAGCCATGGGTACTGATTGTACTCATTCCATATAAACTAATTCGAAAACAGGTATTGGATTTCATGTTATTTTACTTTTATGTGATAATGATTAGATCCTTTTGGAGCCAAGTTTTTTCCAAACCGACTCGTACAAACTCTAAAAATTTTATTTCCCTGACATACATAGAGTCTTCCGTAATCAACCATATAAATTTAATTTTGAATTTTTTCCGCCATTGTACCTTACATGAAGAATCAAGAAAGTAACTTAAATAAAGAAAATGGATTCTAACAAGGATTTGAGAGAAGTAAAGTCTTCCCAATATTAGCCTGATTCAAGATCTCTGAAAAATTCCAAACCTAGTCTTTTTGATCCTCAAAACTCGTTAGTAGAGAATCAGCTGCTCTGTTGCTCTATGTTATCAAAAGAAACTTCTATTGGGTTCTGGGTGTTGAAAAGCTAGATTTGGAGGTTTATGGATACGCTGAGCTTTGTGAATATTGTAATCATTTTATTTTTCTCAAAGTCTTGTTGGAAACAATTTTCTCGGTTGATACTACTGTTTGCGTTTTTATTCAAGTCATCATTACGGAAAAACTCGAAATTCAATCTGTACGTTCAATTTTTAGCGCTACTGCACACATTCTTTTTTGTGCTACTGGGTAATGAGAATTTTTCTTTGGTTTTTTTTTCTTAAAACTTATTTATAAATCTAGGAATCGGAATCATATCTCGAAATTCAATACAGGGCTCTAATCATGATTTATCATTTTCATTATGCGTAGCTTCAGGTCTTTGGTCAGCATCAGAAAAATTTACACATAATATTACAGGTCAACCGCGCCCATTGAAATAGTAACGTTACCATCTCGATGTAGATTCTGTTTGCATGAACGTTAAGCTGGTTGAAAAAGAAATAAAAAAATCTGTAAGCGGTAGTATTTATAGGATTTTTTTTTCAATCTCACTAAAACCTACATATCGCCAGAAGATCAAGTCAAAATTTGTGAATCAGTTGGAGTACTTCTCTCATAAGAAAGAGATGAGGAGAAAATGCGACATTGATTAGCTATTAATAGAAGTTCGTTGCTAGCTACAATCACGCTTCAATCGCATTTATAACGACTACACGAGCTAATACTCAGAAAATTGTTTCTCTAAATTTATGATAAAATTCTAAACTGAGCAATCTTATAAATAAAGCAGTAAAAATATCAAACAATCTAAGAAACACAAAAAATTTTATAATCAAATAGTTTCTCAGCAAACGTAAATATTTCAGATAAACCATATCAAACACTGTAACAATTTGATTTGTAAAACTCGTAGTTTTTCATAGAATAGTGTAGACCAATTTTATATTAACATGAACATCCAAACGAAATAGTTTTTTCTTTAATAGTGAACAAGCATTTTTATTTATTTTGAGTGATATTTCAATGCTATTCTTTGATGCAATAACTCTTAACACTGCCGTAAAACAATATCTATAAAACAAAGCCTTTTTCTTTACAATTTTATGATCTTGTATCAGCGATTTTTTCAAAACAATTTTTGAGAAGACAAAAATCTTTTTTTATTTTTTTTTTGGGAAAAATTGTTGAAAAAAAAAATCTGATAGATAGATCATCACATAAGGACATCTTGTACTCTTTCTTTAATTTCTATAAGTCATTAAATTAAAAAAAAAGTTTTAAAAATTTAATTTAAAGATTTTAGACAACTAACGACAACTGTTGATTATTTTTTCTGTGATGCGTATCATATAGATATTATATGGACTGATGGACTCAACATACACTCATGCTAACTCAGCCGCATATCACATTACCATGTGATGTGAGTTGCAATTGACACTGTCGAAGCATGTTGTTTTTTTCTTGCACTCTGTTAACTAACGCTCACGTACTGCCACGAACCCTGAAACAAATTTAATTGGTATTCAATGAGTCATATTCTTACTAATCAATATGATGCTTGCTTTCCTTCTTTAACGTTTCTGTTGTCAATCTGTTACCTCCACAAACGACCGATGAAGAAAAGATTCCCTTGTTCGACTGGTTAGGATAAAGTTATTCGTTATTTCTTTCTCGTTGAGCAGATTGATCAAACGTGTTGCAATTACATTCCAACCAGAAAACATACACGCCCTCCACATATAGATAAATAGATCGCATTTTACCTATGTCTCGTTTCATTTGCATTCTATTTCAATTTCGATGGCTCGCACTAAACAAACAGCTCGCAAATCAACAGGTGGTAAAGCACCTCGACAATCTGCTGTATTTCAAACATATGCTAAACGAAAACAAGCTGAAGCTAAGCAACAAGGTAAACCAGAAATAACTGAAGCTGAAATTGCTGAAACAGCTCCTGTTGATGTAACATATGATGTTAGTTATGAAAGTTCATTTTATGCTCATCATTTTACGGCACAACCAACAACAACAGATTTATTTATGCCATCATTTGGTATTGCTACAACAATTAATTCATTAGAAAATGATAATAAAAATATTGAACATTGGCTAAGTGTTAATTTTAATAGTTGTCTTGATGGTTCAGGTATTCGTACACATCGTGCTCGACTTCATCTTGTTATAACACTTGATATATCGGGTTCAATGTCGGATAAATTTGAAGGTGAACCAGGTAAAACAAAATTACAAATAGCACAACAATCATTATTAACACTTCTTAAACAACTTTCACCTGATGATGCATTTGGTATTGTACTTTTTAATCATGCTGCAACAATTTTACAACCAATGGAAAGAATGTCATCAATTAATAGAAAACAATTAGAAGAAAATATTCTTAAATTACGTGCTAATGGTGGTACTAATATAAGTCGAGCTATTGAAGTTGCTAGTGATTTATATAATTCAGAAACAGATAAAAAAGGTATGAAAGATGATAACAACATGATTAGTCGTCGAATTTTTTTTCTAACTGATATGGAAGTATCAACAACGGATGGTCAAACATTTTTAAAACGTATTCAAGACAATGCACAAAATCATACAATATGGTCAACAGTTGTTGGTGTTGGTCTTGATTTAGGTGCTGAAGTTATTCAATCAGTATCACGAACAATTGGTTGTAATTATTGTAATGTTCGAAATGCTCGAACATTTGATGAATTAATGAATACTGAATTTCATTATACAGTTACACCAATTGGATTTAATATTGAATTATTATTATTAAGTGAACGTTATACAATTGAACAAGGATATGGATCACCTGAAATACATCAATTACAAGATAAAATTGATACACGTCAATCAATTAAATTAATAACTGAATTTCCATCACCAATGAATGATAAAAATGAAGTACGTGGTGGATGTCTTTTATTTAAAATAATTGATATGAAAAAAGATGAAAATAAAGAAAAATTTAAAATTAATACATCATGGGATACAATATCTGGTATACGACAAATTAATGAACAAGAATTTGAATTTTCAAATGATATTGATTCATTTACACATTCTGGTATACGTAAAGCTATATTACTTGTACGTTATACATCATTTATGAAACGTTATTTAAAATTACGTCAAGCATCAGCAACACCTGATATTATTGATGAATATCAATCAATGCGACGACAATATCCACGTTTAGTAGAATATTTTCATAAAGAGATGAATATTATTGATGATAAATCATTAAATGAAGAAGAATATAAACATTTATTGGATATTGCACAACAAGATGATATACCTTTGAATGAAAATCTTCATCCAACAGCACCAGTTGTAGCTACAACTACAACTACAACTACTACTATTGATCATCCTATTACAGCAAAAAAAACACTTCCTTCACTTGAAACATTACCTCGTCGAGATTTACAAACTCTAGCAAAACAACATAGTATTAAAGGAAATTTGAAAACAGAAGAGCTTGTTCGAAAACTCTCTGATGTTATTACCGATGATGCAATACCCGCAACTACGACTGCTTCTAGTGGTGATGTCTGTTGTATATGTTTAACAAACAACAGTTCAGTAATTTTATTACCATGTGGTCATAAATGTTTATGTAATGATTGTACTAACAAACAAGAAGAACAATTAACTAAATGTCCTATATGTCGACAAGATATTTTACGTGCAACAACACCAACAGTTAAACGACAACGTACGGCTTAAAGACAATATTTTATTTCATTTTTTAAGTATCTTCAAATGAAGCTTACACTTGTGAAAAAAATAATAAACAATATTGTATGATGTTATGTTTTCATTTATGACTAAAGTTGTATTTAAAACAGCAAAAAAAATTGTGATATTCTATTTTTTTTTTCTAATTCAGATTTTCGAATAAATTTTAACAACATAAAGAATATGATTAATATAAATTTATTTGACAATTTTCATCTTTTTTTTTCTTTTTAAGTCAGATTAATTTATTAAAAATCTGTATCAAATCAATATGCATACTCTTGATTTAATTGTTCCGATTCATAATATTAATGAAATAGAACATGAAGAAGAAAATCATGATTTAACAAATATTGTTAATGTTCATGATCCATTTTTTCTATGGGGTTTATTTGAACATTCTGATCGTGCTTTACTTCAAGCATTACAAACACTTTCAGATGCTGATTGTAGTCGTTTATATTGGACATGTCATTATCATAAACATACAAAAGTATGTCAATATATATTGGATAATTATGCACCTATACGTATTGCACGTGATGCTATTGCAATACTTTCTCATATGACCAAATCTGGTGATAATAAAATACCTGATTTAACAAAAATACCTGTACCATTTTTATTACCAACATCACCAGATTTTATGGTTATTGAATTACGTGATGGATCATTTATACCATCAAAAGGAAGACCATTAAAATTTACTGTTATTGATCGTGAAGGAAATACAAAAACGTGAGCTGTTACTTTTTTTTCCTTTCTTTTATGAAAATAATAAAAAAATTAATTTTTTAGTTGTATTTATAAACATGGCGATGATTTATTACAAGATGCAATGTGTGTTGCTGTTATGAAAGAAATGAATAATATATTTGAAGAAGAACATGTTGAAGCTGAAGCTGTTCTATATGAAGTAAGATATGTCATGTAGTGGAAAACAAGTTTAACAACAATGTATTTTTGGTTATTTTTCTATAATATTGAGTAATTTACTCAAATTCCAATTGTGATTTCAATAGGCAATGAAGTTTTCTATCCAATCGATTCTATACCAAGGTTTCTCGAAATCAAACAAGGTAGTTTTTAGGTCCCAAAAGTTAGTTTTTTAACAACGCCATTTTAAAGAGTATAAAAATTATTATCGGGATTCAAGCTTGATGCTTGACATTATAAAAAGAAAAAAATCAAAACTACGTTGTTGTTAAACTTATGTTCGATGTCTTCTATAGAGGAGCTTCGAAAATTATTCGTCCGAGTTTAGTTCAAATTTCTCTTTGCTGTCATTAACGTTAAGAAGAGTCCAAATACTGATTTCACTAGAGAATTTTATTACTAATAAGAAATTTGAAAAATAAAAAGCTTTTTTTTAGGGTTCTAAAGTTGCGATCTCTAAAACTAAGTTTATCAGTTCCTAGAATTTGCAATCATAATGCAGTTTGCTTATCCAGAATTATAGACAGAACTATTCTATACAAAATAGTATGTTTTCATTAAGATACATAAAATTTTCACAAGGCATAAAAGTCGTTTTTTCTGCTGTTATTTCGTAGAGAAACTTCACTATTGTGCTTTTGAAAAACACCTTGAAGAAAGCTGAAAGACATTTTGCTTCGTAGAGAATTATTTGTTCTGTCATTCTGGGCAATTCGAACTGCATTGTGATTGAGACTTCTAGTAACAGATAAACTTGGTTTTCAGATATTCTATCTTTAAAAATTCTCTACTCAAATTACTATTTGCCTTATTCTAAGCGTTGACGATAGTGAGAAAAATTGAAACAAAAATCTAATATATATATTTATAGGAATTGTTATGCATTCCTTAAATTATTCGTTTATTTAGGTACTTCCAGTTGATAAATTTGAAGGTCTTATTGAATGCGTTGACAATGCACATTCATTTCTTGAATTTAAGAGAGCTGATGAAAATAAAGATCCTACGTTACCACATCCATTGAAAACATTTATTGAAAAATCATATGAACGAAAAAAGAATTTATTTCGAACATTTATTGGTTTTGTGATATCTGGCATTGTTTTACGATTAGCTGATCGACATTGTAAAGTATTTCTTTTTTTTTTTTTTTTTATTCATATAGTTCTTTCATGAGAAATCAACATTGACAAGTTTTGAATATGAATTAATATGAAACGTCTACCTAGAAATAGGTATATAATTATTTAGTTAAAGCTCTAATTAGAATTACAAACGATTGTCTAACGAGCAGTTCTCCAGACTAGTTCTTAATATATGGAAGTGATTCCCAACATTTGACATTAGTTAAACTAATTCATCAATGAAAAAGAGTCTTTTGATCATGCATATCATTCTCTCTAATATCTTATTGTTATGATTAAAGATTGATATAAATTTTAGTATCTGTTCTAAACTGTGAAGTATTAGAAAAATTATGACCGATGATTTTTCATTATGTATTTCTGCACTTTTGCACATGTTTCGGTACATAACTATGACTGATTTTGTTTCTGTCAAATAGAAAGGTCATAGCACTTAATTACTAAAAGTACTTGTTCTGTTGAAAACAAAAGTAAATGTCTAACAAGAATTTACATAAAACTTTTTCTGTACTTCAAGAGTAAAATAAACATTGTTCTTTTAACAGATATTTGAATAATATTTTTCTTAAACTTTCTCTAATAGACGATAACATCATGCTTACGGATGATGGTAAAATATTACATATTGATTTCGGTTGTGCATTTGGTCAAACGACAAAATTTGAACGATTACTTGGTCTTTTTATGGATATACCACATTCACCATTTAATGAAGATATTTTTATTGGTAAGATTTTTCTTTTTTCTAATTAAATCAACAAAAACAAAATGACAAGCAAAAAATAAACTTTGCTTTAGCTATGATCAGTAGTGAAAGTGACAGTGAAATCATAGCAAAATTATGGGAATCAATAAAAGAACATATGTGGTCTTGTTTTAATGCTTTACGTATACATAAAAATCGTTTTAAACCGTTAGGAGAAGAAAAATATGAACTATTGTATGAATCATTAATGGCTGGATTGAATAATGATGATGCTCGAGAAGCATTGTATGTCGAATTAGAAAAATGTTATAATAATCGTTTTAATGCTACACGAGCATTTTATTATAAAATTCAACAGAATATAGTTAGTTGAAGTCTATTATATTTTTTGTTATGTTAAATTTTTCAGGTATTTTAATCTTGCTGTAAGCAAAGTTATTTTTTTTATTGTTATACGAGCATAATGCCGGATATTTTTTATTTTTCTGTTTCTTTTACATCTAGCAATTATAAATAAAGTTGTTATTTGAAAAATATAAAGAGAATCATATGATAAGATAATATTCGATCGTTCAGACGACATGCAAAGAAAAATCACCACGTGATTGTCTTTCTAAACGTTAATCTTTTATTTTTCAAATGCGTATAAAATCATTATTTCATTTGAAATAAAACAATGCATTTTATTCGTGAAAACGTTAATGACAAAGAAGATTTTTCTATAAACATGCTATCAAATCAAATCAATCTAACAAATAATACAATGACAACCACAACACCGTTGATTGTACTATTTAATGATAATAATACAAAGTATGTAGAAATAAAAATTAACAAAATGAATGATCGTTGTGTTTGTTTTGTTTTTTTTTCTTATCATTTAAGTTCAACGAATAAATCATTATTGATTTCATCATCAAATAAACATGGTTTTTTATGGGAATTTAATTTGAATTTTATTATTTTATTAGCATTGGGTTTGATTTTTGTAGTATTTCTTATTAGTATTGGTTTATGGTATTGGTGTAAACGTGTTAATCATTTACGTCGAGAACATTCATTACCTTTGAGTATTAATGATTTTATTGAAACAACTAAAATTCAAGAAAAACGTTTATCATCTAGTTCAATAAATAATAAGATTAGTAACATATTAACAAAACCTCCACCTGTTCCACCACGTCCTACAGCTTATACAACAATTCTTGGTAAAATTGAATATCGATCAAATCTTTAATTGAATGAATAACATATTATTTTGTTGCTTTTTTTAATATGATTTTGAGATAGATTAGATGAAAAATTGTTTATATGTTCTTGTTTGTTGTTTCTATTTTTTTTTTGTTTATTATTTGTTCTTATGCATATAGAAAATAAAATACTCGTACGTATGAAATTGATTAAAAGAAAAGTAAAATAAAACAAAAAATATTATTGCTTTGTTGTCGAGGCTAGTAGAGACAAGACGACCTGTTATTCTACTGTCTTTGACATTTTATTTTATGATATTCAAGATCCATTGAAATATAATTTCTATAGTACTTCAGTTTATTACGATGTTAATGGCTATTTTTAACAAACATTAATATGGAAATTGTATTAACAGAAACCGAAACACGACAATTTCAAAAATCTATTTTGATGAAAGAGATTTTGTGTTTATCAAACATCAGTTTGATGAAGAAACAAAAAATTAATTTATGCTAAAAATAAAATGGGAAACTATTGATGTTTCTCCTATGTAAATTAATAAAATCAGCCAATAATATAGATTTTGTTTACTCTATGAACTACAATATTTCTTATATTGAATTACAAGCATTAAAAAAAAACTTCTCGAACAATCTTCAACAGTCTTCATTGTTAATGTTTACAATGTGGCATGATGAAGAAATCATGAAAGGATATTTATTCTTTTTTATACATCAGTTAGATTATTATTAATTTTCAAAAAGAAAGTAACTTGACAACATGCTTGAATAATACAATCGGTTTGTATCATTTCAAAATTATTATCATCAACACTGGATAAATACATTGATGTCTAATCAATTTTGCTACTAGTCTGATGTGTAGGATGAATATAGAAGTAAATTAATCAGCTGTGTATAGTATGTTATTGAATTTTACTCATTTCTTATCAATTCTATAATAAATCGAGTAAGACTCTTTACTTCTTATCAGAAATAATTTTCTTTTACTATGTGAAGGACTCTTATCGATACTATTTTTATTGAAATAAATTCATGAATAGAGTTGTAAGTTAATGTATCGATTGGTAGTGACAGCACATAATAATCTCTCAAGTTGCAACAATGTCAACTAGAAATTTTAAAGAATTATTTTTTCAAATTTTCTCATTTCCGAGAAGTTTTCAAGTAGAAAATTCTTGTAGAGAACATATTGATACAAAACTAGATAAAGTTACTATCAAAAAATGATCTAATAGTTTGAAAATTTAAAACTTTTTGACATTCATCGGCAGCAGTTCAGTCTATTGGTTTATACTTCTATTCATATGGTATGATAAATAATAATGTTTCCTATTATATTTTCTGTTTTTTAACCATTGAATTAATCATTAGATTATCGTTCCTAAGTGATTTCATAGTTAATTTATATTCAAGAAGATGTATATGACGTCAATTTTTGTACAATATGATTTTGTTTTTCTTATTTCTTATCATTTTTATTAAAAAAATTAAATTATTTATTTTTCAAGAAGATCTTATTAGATGTTATGTTATTTTTTTTCTCTTCATTTCACTAATTTGTCCTTAACGTTCGAAATTAAATATAAGTAAGAATATGTTCAGGGACGTTCGATCATCAAATATGTATTGACAATTGACAAACGAGAATATTTATTAGGGTTTCTATTTTTTCTTATTTGATATAGTACACAATATATATTCATAGTTACTAACAAGCATATAACATTTGTTTTATTTTCTTCATATGTTTTGATTGTCAATAAACATTCATGAGTATGATCAATCGAATTCCTTTTTTTTTTTTTGATTAAGAAATCCATGATGTTTATAATACTGCAATGAGTAAAGTAGACAAGAAAAAAACACAAACGAAAAAAAATGAGAACAGTGAAAGTCGAAAAAATTTGTATGTCGATTGTTTATAAAGCTGATCAAATTTATATACTTGTTTTTTTTAAAGGATGATTTTCACTTGTCATAAGAGAAGAAAACATTGACACGGTAATAATCAACACACAACATACGAATCCATAGAAATTCTTTTCTATTTGTTTCGAATTAAGATGTAATCAAAATCGTTGTTGCTGCCAGAGCCAGACGTTGGCTATACTCCTCTCAATTTTCTTTTTTTCTCTTATTTTAATGCTCTTATAATGTTGCCGACATCGACGACGACAAGAAGGTGACAATAAACATATTACAAAATTCTCTTTTTTTTCTTCTTCAATTTTCCAACAATGCAATAATAGTGATTTTGATGCTAGAAGGAAAAAAAGAGAGAATATGGTAATGGCATTTTCTTTTTCTTTTTCTTTTATTTCTTTTTCTTTCTTTCTTTTTCAATTTAATTGTTTTTCCGTGTGTGCATTTGTTTGGGTTGAAAGAAAGTTCTCTTGCGCTCTATTTTTTTTTTCTTTTTTTCATTTTCTCTTTTTTTTCTCTTTTACTTTATACTTCTTCAGAACCGAACGGAACAAAAGAGAAGAAGATAAGGTAAGAATTGTAAGCTACAAAGTATATGAAAGAGTGCATCAACACAAATTTCAAGTTCATGACGAACATCATCATCAGTATTTTCTTATGAATGATATAAAGTTCATAAGTACATGATTTCGTCCTCTATTGATTCGATATATGAATATACAAGCAAAGATTACCAATTGAAAGCAGATATATGATTAATATTGATAAAGATTCATAGATAAACTTCTACGAGAAAAAATAAAATGAAGTTTCTTACATCATCTTGTTTTTTTTGTTTTAGAATAAGAAAGTTTTTCTTTTTCTGCACATGATATTAGATACAGGATAGTTAACATATACTATTAGATAATGACTAATGTACTAAAAGAAAATGGAGGTTCTGGGACACCTTTGCTCGTTTTACCAACTGGTGAACAACAAATTGTTGTAAGTATCTTAAAAAATTTTTCTTCTATACTATTGATTGATTCTTTTGTTTTATGAAGGTCGCTTGCCGTATTCGACCAATGACAGAAGATGAAATTCTTCAAGGTGCTACTATCATCGCTCATAAAGTAGCTGAGGACAACGTATGTATTATTAATCTATTATTGTATTTGTTTTTGCCTTGTTTACAATCGTATTAATTTCTAGATGGTTGTTTTACTTGATCCCGACGAAGATCATGATGATGTTTTACGTGCTAACCGATCACGTGAACGTAAATATATGTTTGATGTGGTATCTGATGCACGTGCTGGACAGCAAGATGTATATGCATCAACAGCAAAAATTCTTTTGGGTAGTGTTTTAGAAGGTTATAATGCAACTGTATTTGCTTATGGAGCAACAGGTAAATAAAAAAAAATAAAAAATTTGAATATAAATAGAAAAAATTAATTTTCTTTTTTTTTGTTGTTTCGTTTTTCAATTTAGGAGCTGGAAAAACTTATACTATGTTAGGTACAGAAAATAATCCTGGTGTTATGTATCGAACATTACATGATTTATTTGTTGAAATAAAAAAATTTGAAGGTCAAAGAGAATATCAAGTGTCAATGTCTTATTTAGAAATTTATAATGAATTAATTCGTGATTTACTTGCACCATCATCTTCATTTCTTGAATTACGTGAAGATGCTAAAGGTACAATACAAGTTGCTGGTCTTAGCGAACTTAATGCTAGAACACCTGAAGAAGTTATGGAAATGTTGCACAAAGGAAATCGTGCACGAACACAAGAACCAACAAAAGCTAATAAAACATCATCACGATCACATGCTGTGTTACAAGTTAATATTAAGCAGCGTGATGTTACCCGATCACATACAGAACAAGTCCGGTTTGGTAAAATTAATTTAAATTGTTTTATTTCAGAATAAATAAAATTTTTTTAATTTTATTTTTCAAGCAAAACTCTATATGATTGATTTGGCTGGATCAGAACGTGCAGCACAAACTCAAAATACGGGTAGACGAATGATGGAAGGTATAATATTATTTTGAAACCTTACAAACATCAGTTGTTTTAGATAGACAAAAAGAAACAAACACATAATATTTTTTTTCCTCAGAAAAATTTATTTTATGTTTAATTAAAAATCAATAGACAAGAAAACAAATTCTATTTTTATTATGCAAATAATCAAAAAAAGAATTAATAATTTAGATTGAAGCAATTAAAAATCCTCCAATTATATTTTTAGGTGCTCATATTAATCGTTCATTACTTGCTTTGGGTAATTGTATCAACGCTTTAAGTAAGTTGTACATTTTTCTCATAATCTAAAAATTTAAATTCAATTTTTAAATCTAGGTGAAAAAGGAAATACAAAATATGTTAATTATCGTGATAGTAAATTAACACGTATATTAAAAGATTCTCTTGGAGGAAATTCTCGCACAGTTATGATTGCACATATTTCACCTGCATCCGTACATTTTGAAGAATCACGTAATACTCTTAATTATGCTGATCGTGCAAAATATATTAAAACAAAAGTTCGTTAATTCGTTTATCTCCAATAATTAATTATATATATATATTTTTTTTTCTCGTATCATACAGATACGTCGAAATGTTATTGATGTATCTTATCATATAGCACAATATCAACAAATAATACAAGACTTACGCAATCAAGTTCAATTGTTACGTGATCAAAGAGACGAACTTGAAATACGTCTAACAACAACAAACGAAGCTAGATTTAGTCGACTTAGTGGTATGTTTAAAATTATTCTTAGTTCTATTAAATAAACGTTATGCTTTATTTCTTGGATTGTCTTGAAAATTTTTCTTTTCAATTAATGTCTAAAGAAAATTGATTCTAACACATTAAAATAGCTGCAAAAAGAAAGAACTCATATACTTTGCCTTCCGACATGATCATGTCTTAGTTTGTTTTATTTTCATCACAGACATGCTTTTTAATTATATTCTGACCTTCCGAATGACATTCATTCATCGAGGTAAAAGCATGTCTGTGAAAACCACCTGTCATTATTCATTCATTCAGAAAAAGTCATACATTAAGTTTTCCAGGCTAACTAGTCTGAA